CGGTCAATAGATCCAGTCATGATTTTAGTTATTTAACTGTGAATTCAAGTACATTAATATTAATGAACTGAAATTCAACAGAGGAAGAGAATCTCTGTTCAGTTAAAAAAAAAAAAAGCTGTATTTTTCATTTCCTATTATTTGGATCCGTCTTTTACCCATATTTCCATCATTTAAGGACAGTATAGTTATTGAATAAATGGACCACAAATATATCTGACCCACTTCTCTGCTTATGCACTATGGCTTGATGCTTGAATTGATATTGCCTTTTACCTGGATTTTTGATCTTAATTTGTGTGTATTTGGTGACTTTGTTTACCTGTCTGTTGCACTGGGCAATTCCATGGAAGCTCTCTAAAACAGAGTATAAGCAAGACTGTGTAGTTTGTTTTTTCACTACCTTTCACCTATAGCTACAAAATCACATTATTTTAACACTTCTGACCAGCCACAATGCTAACAAAGGAACCATTGGCCAAATATCTGATAGTTCAAAGCAGTGTGTTAGAATATTGCTTTCTTAAAGTTAACTTTGCCCAACACTGACCTGGAAAATTAGAGAGGCCAGCTTTCATGTTCTTCGACTAAGATATGTAATCTCCAGATCTCTGCAACAGAATAAATCCTGATAGTAATCCTGTATGCAGCTCTGACATGGTTTTCTCTAGAGGGATTCTTCAGTTATTACATTAATAAATGTGTATTGTCACCATAGCAGAAGATCTTCTACCTGAAAGCCAGTGTGGTTTCCGAGCCAACAGAGGTACCACAGATATGGTATTTGTTCTCAGACAACTGCAAGAGAAGTGCAGGGAACAGAACAAAGGACTCTATGTTACCTTTGTTGATCTCACCAAGGCTTTCGACACTGTGAGCAGAAAAGGTCTGTGGCAGATTTTGGAACGTTTAGGATGTCCTCCCAAGTTCCTCAAAATGATCATCTTGCTTCATGAGGACCAGCGCGGCCAAGTGAGACATGGTGACGCACTTTCTGAGCCGTTTCCAATAGCCAATGGTGTGAAGCAAGGCTGCGTCCTTGCACCAACTTTATTCACAGTCTTCTTCAGCATGATGCTCCAAAGGGCCATTGCAGACCTCGATGATGAAAACGGTGTCTACATTCGATATCGTACGGACGGGAGCCTGTTCAACCTAAGGCGACTGAAGGCCCACACTAAGACCTTAAATTGTCTTATCCGTGAGCTGCTTTACGCTGATGATGCCGCCCTTGTTGCTCACACAGAAGTAGCTCTGCAGCGTCTAACATCCTGCTTTGCAGAGGCTGCTGAGCTGTTTGGACTGGAAGTCAGCTTGAAGAAGACAGAAGTTTTATACCAGCCTGCACCTCAGGAAGTCTCCCATCATCCCCATATCACCATTGGTGAAACAGAACTCAAATCAGTCCAGCAGTTTAGCTACCTGGGTAGCATCATCTCCTCAGACGGTAAGATTGATGCAGAAATAGACAACAGGTTAGCAAAGGCATACAGAGCTTTCGGTAAACTCCATAAAAGAGTGTGGCAAAACAAACACCTGAAGAAAAGTACCAAGATCAGTGTTTACAGAGCTGTTGTACTGTCTACTCTTTTGTATGGGTCCGAATCATGGGTCATTTACCGGCACCACTTGCGTCTCTTAGAACGCTTCCATCAGCGCTGCCTCCGCACAATTCTAAACATCCACTGGACTGACTATGTGACCAACACGTCTGTCCTTGAACAGGCAGCAGTCACGAGCATTGAGGCCATGCTGCTGAGAACACAGCTGCGCTGGGCAGGGCACGTCTCCAGGATGCAGGACTACCGCCTCCCTAAGATCGTACTCTATGGGGAACTTGCCACTGGCTGCCGCAAGAGAGGAGCCCCGAAGAGGAGGTTCAAGGACTCCCTGAAACAATCCCTCATCCTTGGCCATATTGATCATCACCATTGGTCTACCCTGGCCTCCAATCGGGAGGCCTGGAGACACACCATCTATAACGCTGCTGCTGCTTTTGAGAACACACGCAGGATCACTCTCGAGGAGAAAAGACAACGCAGAAAGAATCACGTCTTGTCTGTATCACCTGGGGAGTCTTTCTGCTGTGCCTTCTGCAACCGGACTTGTCTATCTCGCATTGGCCTTTTTAGCCATCAGCGCGCTTGTAGCAAGCGTGGGTAGAGCCCTTTCAAATCTTCGTTCGCGAAGCCTAGCCATGATGATGAAATGTGTATTGTCTAGTTATTGAAAATATTTGTATAACACTGCAGCCCAGGAGTATTCTGGATGAAAAAAAAAACCAGCTCCCAAAAAATGCAACAAACCAACCCTTAGAAATGGAAATAGAAGATTAAATTTGACTAACGCAGAACTGGCTAAATTTTTAACTGTTAGCTAGCCTCATCAAGAAACATATAAAAGCACTAGGTAGAGCAATCCAATACACAAACTGCAATCTTGCACAAGACAAGGGAAGAGCTTGTGAAGGATAAGATGGCTCAAGACTGCTCATGAGGTCATAAATAAATGACAGTGTAGAAGAAAAAATATCGACAGGACCAGCCTGTATTTAAATAATACATGAGTAATGAAAACCAATATTAGAGATTAATTTCAAAGATAGTTTTGGAAATCAGAACAGCAGACAACAGGAAATGTGATGACATCTGAAAATAAGAAAGCCAGGTTGAAGAAATAAGATACAGGAATAAGACAACACTAATTATAGATCTTGTTGTTTATGACTAGGAAGTAAAAACCGTGCTTAGTGTGTTGAGCTGCTTGTTTTGTTTCCTAGTGCAGTAAGATTATGTATTCCAACCTATTATAAATCTGGATCCATATCTCTTCTTATCTCTCTCAGTTTATGTCTTTCTAGATGTGAATTTAACTGCATGATCAGTACAAGGTCATCAGACAAGGTGGTTGCAAAGTAATAACAATGTCTGCACAAGTCACGGTTCCCAAGCCACTCAGGAGTTTAACATTTCTAAATGCAAACATTGGATGTTTTATTACTCACAAAGCCTTCAAGTTGTTTGTGTCAGTCTTTTGTGGTTATGTGTCATCTTTTCTTTTTTTCCTACCTGTCGTCATTAATAAGTTTTACATCAAGAGCTAGGCAGGAAAAATAAAAATGTAGCTGCCGAATATTTTCTTACTCGTATCTGCAAATTCTCCAGAGAATTTAGTTTTTCTTTTAAATTGTGATTCAACTTTTTCTTGAAAATGGAGTCAGGCAGAAAAGGATTCACAATTTTATCCTGTTTCTGTATAAAGATTCGTGTCTGACAGCTGGTGTGGCACAGTCTTGTGTTACATAAGTACATAATGTGCAGAGTTCAGGAATGAAAACTGTTCCACAAATAGTCAATATTTACCTATGATTATTTAAGTTGCACTGGTATTGCATGGGCATCTTTAACAGGAAAAGATGAACTTTGTTCCTTTCTAGTAAAGATGTTATCTTTATTAGAAGATACCTCAGAGCTGTGGTGCACCTTTTATATATACCCATGGTGTACTTTTATATGCAGCTGCATTTGACCTGTTGCAAAGCTTTGTAGCATCACCAAACAATTAATTTTGTTACCTGTTTTGGTGTTTGGTTTGGTTTATTTTATTTTATTTTATTTTATTTGTTAAATAAAGGCTAAATGATCTTTCCTTCCTCCCCTTTACTCCGTCTCACAACTGTGAATCACTTCCTGGTACCCCAGTTGGAGGAAGTTTCTTTAGAGATATAACATCAGGTGATTTATGCATTTCTTTCTGGTATAATAAAGATAGGGAGCCTTTCAGCATAATTACTTAACTAGCCAAATATTTATTTTAGATATATTGTAGGTTCTATTGCTCTGTGGCACATTAGACAAAGTATATATTGTGAGAGTGGCTGGAACCTGGCGGCTGCTTTCATCCCAACCCCAGTCAGACTTTTATCAAAAATCACTCCATGGAGGCGAGACTTATCACTCCCATGGGAAATGACAGAATTTTTTTTTTGTTACTGGTCTGGCAGAAGTCTAATGGAGGGCAGATTTTTAGTGGTACAGGTGTTGACAGCACTGCATCCTGCATGCTTTCTGGAGCAGCTGATTGCACTAGAGAACACTTCTTACTAGATTAACTCTGTTATGAGCCCTGGGGTGGCTGATTTGACTCACTTTTGTATTACAGCATTGTGTTACTTAAAGGAAAACAATGCTTAATAAGTAGTGAGATTGCAGCCACATCCTCTCTCCCAGTGTATCATGAACCCAAGGACAGGAACAGGTCTGCAGGCTGGGCAGAACAGCCCATACAGGAAGGTTTCTGCAGCTTCCTCTGGTGTGCCTCTTTACAGGGCTCTGGGGGGTACCACCAAATTGTGAAAAGACTCTTCTGTGATGGGAACTTGAAAGCAATGTTGTTCTCCCACATAGACACCTTGTCCTTTAAATGAAAAGGCACACACTGCAAACTTTGGAGCACCGTAGATATCTTAATATACACCAATAACATTTGAATTGATCAATCCTTGTGTTTCAGAACACTTTGGAAAAAATATCACATGGTATTTTCTGCCTTGGGTTGGAAGGCACAAGCAGGAAAACAGACTTATAGCAGAATTATAGGGCAAGTGGGAGAGCTGGGATGAGCTCTCTGTCTTCTGACCTTTGTGGTCCTTTCAGTAGTATCCCAGCCCAATAAAAATTATACAACTGTTCCCATTGGCTTTGCTTAGGTTGCTTAAAGTTATGTAAAGCAAGTACATAAATACATTTTTTTTGTTGTTTAGATGTTGTCACCACAGGCATGCCATTATAACCCAATTATTAATACTTCTAAAAAAGAAACATGATATTACTTTCCGTATGTGCAAGAGTATTTTCCTCTTCTGGCAACATACTGAGAAGTGGGTGGGGGGTGGGAAAAGGATTAACTGGGTGGGGGAGGTAAAATGTATTTTAACAGAAGAAAGCATGGAGAGTTATAGTCTCACAGCAAGAAATAAACATTATAATCATAAACAAATGTAACCTTAAAAACAGAAGACAGAGATTTTATTGTATTGACATAGGACACTTGAGCAACAATTAAGGATTTGTTCTCTTACGTTAGTCAGGACACATGGGCAGGAGGGCCCTTTCAGTGGCCATTTCCTCCAGATAGTGTGTGTCAGAGCTTGGATTATAAAATGTCTAGGAATGTACAGAGACAGGCAAAGAGAAGGCTTGCTTTGAGGGGAGATTGGAGAATCTCACTATAAGGTCTGAGCATGAATGTTCTCAACAGCACTGGAAACCAAACAACATTGAGACCTGCTCTGCCTTTCACATTTATATAAATGCTTACATTTGCACTCTGCAGTGTTATCTGCATGTGGTATTTTGGTATACAATCCAAAGCCAGCTCTGCAGATCTGTGCAAACTTATGAGACAAACTAATTGTGCAGCTCCACGTGAGACCATGCTCTGTCCTTGTTAGGGTGTCTACTTTCAGTGCCACCAGCCTAGATTCCTTCAGGTTCCTTACACAAATCCTATGGGACTGTATTTCTAAACTGGATCTCAGTGAGAGATGGGAAATTATGGAGGGAGGATGGCTACCCTGGAGGGAAACTTTTATTGTATGTTATGGACATGACCTGAACAGCACAACAGACTGACAGTGCTGCCTAAGGATGTGGGAAAAGCCTTGGTCCTCCAAGAGTCACCAGCTGTTCAATTAAGCAAAATCAACAGTACATTTGCAAGGGAGTACTTGCTCTTTTTATTTCTGTTTCTGTTCATCATATGTTAGTCATACTTTCAGGTTATTTGATAACTTGACTGCTAGTGAGTTCATACTGTAATAGGACAGAGCTACTTTCCTATGGGATTATCAGTTCTGTGTATTTAGAAAGGCAAAGAGTGGCAAAAAGGTGATATTATTTTCATTTTTATGGGGGAGAAGTGAGACAGAGGAAAACAAAATGTCTTGGCCAAGGTCCTTTAGAGCATTCATGTAGAACTGGGAATTAGAGCAAGATCTCCTGGTCCAGTGAGGTGCCTATTTAATGTGTTGTTTGTATGTGCTTTAAGAGTATTTTCTAACTCTTCACTTGTTTGTTTAGAATCCAAACTAATTCTAAACAAAACCCTTGTTTTGTCAAGATCACATTGCAGATGCTGGATGCAAACTAACATGAAGTGCAGATCCTGTTTGGGTTTTCTGTTTGTTTGCTTGTCTTTAATTCTTGCCCTAGGAAGCTTTTAAGGATGTTAAAAACACACACACACAAAATAAAACAAACTCAGAGTTGTTATATTCTAGTTCAAACATAAAGAGAGTGGTCTCTGTTCTACCAGTACAAGGGCAAAAAACAAGGCCTGCATGTTCCTTTTCCTGTAAAGTGTTTCCTCTGAAGAAACATCCATGAGGGAACAGTTCCCATTTAAGACAATAAAACTATAGAATGTTTCTGTGCATTGACAGAACGCACAACACTTTTTGAAGTAAATCTTCATCTCAATAATGCTTCTTAATAACTCATTGGCATATGGGACCCAGAGAGAAGCATCTTAAAGGTGATCCTTTGTTCGTTGTTCATGCTGTTAAGATCAGACCCTGTTTCTCGTGAAACACTTTTCTGAGAGAGCAGCCTCGCAGCAGCTCTCTCTGTCGGGGAATAATTCAGCCTGGAAGGGGTCTCTGGAGGCTGTCTGGTCCAACAGCCATGTTTAGAGCAGGTCCAAATTTTAAATTAGATCCAGCTACAAAGATAACTTGGGCTGCTCAGGGCCGCGTCCAGTTGGGTTTTAAACATCTCCAAGAATGGAGAGTACTTGTCCCACCTGGGCACCTGTGACCACTCTCATGGGGAAAAAAAAATTCCTAATATCTAATTGGAATTTCCTTGGCTGCAGCCTGTGTCTTTTGCCTCTTTCCTTTCACTGTGCAGCTCCAAAAGTTTACCTCTGTCTTCTTTAAAAGCACCTGTTACATCGATGAAAAAAATCGTAATATCTCACTTCACCTTCTCTTCTTGAGACTGGACAAACTGAGTTCTCTCAACCTTTCACATTTTGTATGGTCCAAATGCCACCAAGTCAGCAGACTGGTCACTTTATCCAAAGCAAAAACTCAAATTAATTTGCCGTAGATATGTCTCGGCTTTCAAGATATTAGTGAAGGCCAGACACGTGGGGTAAGCTATTTCCATGTTTGAAGGGAAATGTGTTGGCACAAACACAAGATACCTTGTCACTAATGTAATTTTTGGCAGGTACGTTCACTCAGACAAGTTTGTTAGATGTCAAAAGCGAAGCATAGTGTAACTTGTATTTCTCACATGTGGCCTCACAAGCAGCCCTGTGTTCAAATTTCCAGTCCACCTATGTTGCCTAGGCTTTTCTCCTGCCACATGGCAATGCATATCTGAGAAGGAAATTTAGCAAACTGTTTGAAAAACAGCAAAAGAAATAATTTCTGAGTACTGTAACTTCTGAACGTAGTTTCAGTTTAGTTCTATGAATGACCAATTATATATTCCCTTTATTCCAAAATATTCAGAAGTGTTTGGGGAAAAAAAAAGTGTATGGTTTGAATTAGTTTGCAGAGTGATTCTTCACTGATTTCCTAGATAAAATTGATTTTAGCTTATAAAAATCCATTCTGGACCTTGTCTGTCACCGAATTTTATCTCCTTTGCTCCATTGTAACCTATCTTCATTGTAAACAAGGTTTCAAAGACATTGTGATGACAGATTAAATGTCCAAACAGAGAAAACAAAACGTAATTGTGTAGGAAGTTTGCTTTGTGGAGTTTTTTTGGTGGAATTTTTTTCCTCCTCACAGTGTCAAATGGACCTTTACTTGAATGAATTTAATAGTTGTAAAAAGTGTTTTTTCTATATGCCCTGCTAGGTATCTTGGTTATTTTTCTCTAGTTTGTGCTTTCATGCCAGGCAGGTGTGGGGAAGTGCTTTCTCGAGCAATTTGCTGACATTGGGCCAACTTCGGTGTGAATGGCTGGAGGTATTTTGTATTCTGTGCACATGTCTCTGAAGCTATGTGTGGCCAACAGACAGTCATTACTATGCACATAGATCATCTCCAAACTCACTTGTGCCCTATTTGCAGTCACCATTAACACACTTGCTTAAAATTGCCATTAGGGAAAAGGATGATGATGTGTTTCTCTTGCTGATTATCTTGGCACCTGTGATTTGTTTTCTCCTAAGTGTAATACTTCACAGTTGTTTTTACCAAAGTTCATCTTCTAGTTTTGGACATAATGCTTGTTCTGGAGTGCTTTATCACTTTATTATATCCCCCTGTTTCCATACTAGTCAAGAGTCCTAGAGGTCAGGATCAGGTCATGAATCTGCTAGCAGTATCTCCTTACTTGATTGCTGTCTGCACACTTTTTGCCTTTCCTTTTCAATTTTTCAAAACATTCATTCAACAAGAATTATTTACAGGAAGAATACTTCAAGGATGCTTCAGATATCTGTTCCTCTGTAGGAACTGTTTCCTCAACGAAGCACCAAGAGATGTTTTTCAGTCAGTTGTGAACATACCCTCTGATGTTTACATTTAAGCTATTTCTTTCATGAATTTTGATAAAGTTGTGCACTACATGTCAAAAGTCTTATTCAAGCTGAAATATGTCTGTTGCTCTCCTGTTGTCTACTGAACATATTAACCCATCAAAGAAGGAAATAGGACTGACTTGTTGTGTTTCCTTCTAGCTCTTTTTATCACTCCTATATTCCAGAGGTTGAAAATTGCTTGCTTTAGCATTTACTCCTAGAACCTTTCCAGGACTTGAGTGTTTTGTGATTTCATCAATCGTTCTATGAATCCTTCTTCCTCTTCTCTTTTTATCACTGTCCTTTGTATACTTTCAAAGGTGATTTCCTATGGTTTAAAGACCTCTTTGATTAGTTGCTGAGTCAGCTGAGACCAGATTTCATGAAGTCTTGCTTGTTTGGAGATGTCTGTCTTGTCTAAATAATCTGTCTGTCTTCTGTCCTCTGGTCAGCATTTATTTTCTTTGGTATCTACAGAGAAAGAAAAGTATTCTTTTAATAAGAATTGATTTCTCTAGCCATTTTATAGGTCTAAAATGCAGACTATCAAACAAGGAATTGTCATTACTCTAAAATTGCTGGTATTTATCCTATTTTTAGAAGAACTGCTGAAGTGACTTACCTGACATTTCAAAGCCAGCCCATGGTAAAGGAATAGCACCGAGAAGTTACTGACTCTTTCTTATCATATTCAGCACTCAGACACTTCATCATGGGTCAGGACTCAGTTGTGCCAAACTCTGTGCAAGCAGGATGATCCTGTCCCATAGTAAGTCATGGTGAAAATGTATGACAGGAGGCAGGCAATACGGACAGACAAATAGGAACACTACAGGAAAACCCAGAGAACAATAGTAGTATGTAAGATAAGCAGCGAAAAAGAACTTGGCCCTAAATTCTCCTCTCAACAATTCCTAAAAGAACATTCAGTGAGTGTGCAAGATCAGTGTTTTTTGGGGGGATGCTGACTCTTTTTGAGATGAGAATGAACAAATTCATGCTGTGGAAACTGCAGTTACTGAGTTTTACCAATTTCAATTTCCCTTCAAGCACGCCTACAAACAAAATTGCCATCTTAGACTGTCCTTGGCCTCACTGCACACAGTTTATAAGCACAGAATCCCATCAACATTTCAAAGAGAACTAAAATATAGTACTTATTCTTGGATATTGTGAAAGGACTCTGATGGAAATGTAATATTAGTAGGACATCTCAAGTGCCTGTATATAATTCAGCATTCAGAGTCACAAGCAGAACTAAAGGCAAGCTCAGATGGCTAACACCCGCTCTGCATTTCTGCAGGCTATTGTGTTAGCTTTGTACTTTCTTCTATTTTCATCATGCATATTTTTATTCTCATTCAGGATTCATCCATCTGAAAGGAATATGTTGAGCTTGTACATGCACAGTGGATACATCCAAATCTTACTCTTCAGCCTCTATTTCATGTCATGTTTGTTTAAATCATTCTGACCTGTTTTGGGTGTATACAACACAGATGAATCCAGGGTAAATGAGAACTCAAACACTTTATTGTTTATCTCGATGGGGTAAACACAAAATTTGTTTTCCTTGTACTGTCACTTCAAACTGGCAGTTAAAATCTTTACCGAGTTGTGGGGCTTTTCTTGTTTGGTTTTGTTTGTCTGGTGGTTTGTTGTTATTTTGTTCATTTGTGGTATGCAGAAGTAAATCTAGGGAAGTGTGAGGTGGACTTAAGGAGCCATCCTACCTTTAGTAATTTTGTAGTGTTTGTGAGGACATGGGATATAGCTGTATCTGTTTGAATTAAGGAGAAAGAACTAAGAAAAAGACTGCTAATGAAAATACTTGCTAGGAAGGCATATTAAGATATCATCATACATAGTTACTCATTATTTTAGGGGTGTGTATATACAGGCTAGTGATGTCTAGTCAGCATGTATGTATATAACGCATTACATTGTGCTTTCTGACATCTGAACATCTGGAAGGAAGCTCACAGATAAGTTAATGATGTAACTGGCTACATGCTGATTGGTTTCCAAAGTAAAATCCCAGACTATATGATTCAAAGCAGTGTTCATATTTTATAGAAAGTCTCCATTACACAAATACATGGAAAATGGACAGTTATTAGACAAGTAGAAATGCTGTGCATTTACATTAGTGGATGATTTGTTGCTGTGGGTGCTACATGCATGGTTTATGCAGTATACTTTTATGTTATAGTTTTGTGGAACTTCTATATTATCTGTGGATCAGTTGAATTTCCAACTGGTCATGACACTTTCACACTGTGAAAGTAGGCAGAAGATTTCACATAAGACCTTCTGTAGCTTGTGCAACCTCCTTTTAGATAGCAACTATACTGATTTGCTGATGTCAGATATTTCCAGAGTGATACCCAAGCCTGCAAATAAAATGTGTAGAATATCTATCATGTACATTAGAAGCCCAGATTTGGAAACTTGTATAACCTAGTGTTTGGCAACACCATCTTTGAACTTGGTTAACAGATTATTTGATTTGTAACAATTCCCAACCTGGAAGTCCCTCTCTTAAACCAAAAGGTGCAGACTTAAGTCTTCAACCCAGAAGTTCCCTACTGTGTTCGTGAAGGCTGTGGCCAGCACACATGCACATGACTAACCTTACTCATGTGAGCCATCCTATTTAGATATGCACACATGAGGCTGCAGTGCCACAGCCTAAATGATGAAAGAAGTAATACAAATCCCCAATTCTTACTTTCATTCAAGCACACACATAATCCTTAGCATCCCAAGTAGTGTCTTAATTAGCCATTGAAAGCAGTAAGTGTTAGGCTCTGAACATCTCAAAATCATTTGGGTTAATTAAATAATTTCGTTTCTATTCATGTTCCTTGGTCTCTTTCTCTCTTTCCATTAATTTTAACCCACAAAAAAATTCACTAAAATCACCCTCGATGTAAGTGCATATTCACAGACCTTGCTCTAATCCCCACAGAATTTTTGATATTATTTTCAACCTAGAACTAATCAATACTGTATGTTCTTTATTGAAATCAGAGCATTTCTGTATACTACATATTAATGCAGATACTTGTTCTGTGCTGTCATTTTCAGATTATTATTTTTTTCCCTGTCTGTGTCTATGTCTTTAATTTTAGGAGGCATCACATTACAGTGGAGACTCCTCTGACAGAAAACAAACCATATTTTTCTCCTTTTTTTTCTTTCTACTATATTTATCCTGGTTTTAAAACTTTGTGTGTGTGCTGGTTTAAAAATTGTGTGTAACAGGAAACAGGAGCACAATATTCAAAAAGAAACGTGTCCTTTTCAAAACTACTAGTGATGCCCTTAGTAAAGGCCACAGGAGTTGAATTAAAAGACTTTACAAGATCAGGTGTGAGTCCCAGTGATGCAGTAGTATTGGGAAGGTGGCTGCTGCCAGTGCGTCTGCTTCTATCACTAGCACAAGGTTTTCGGGTCAAAAGAAGACATAAGCACGTGTTTAAATCCTTTTCTCATTAAAGGTAGGAAAAGACTACATTGTAGAAGCCCTGCTTTGTACAAGATGACTCAGTTACTTACATGATGAAATTTATACATTTGCTAAATTGTCTTACTGACACAATGCCCCAAACTACAATGGAACAAAAAAGTCAGACAAAAATATCCAAGCAGAAGTAGTTAAGCGTATAAGCCTATAATACATCTGGAGTGGCTGTGATAGCAGCAGATCCCTTATAGTCAGGATGCTTCTTGGACAGCTAGACCTGCCAGTCACAGGGATGAATACCTGTCTTGAAGGGAAGGGCTTTCTGCTTCACTGGGGCTCAGGGGAGTGACTCTCTGAGTTAGCACTGTTACAGCTGGGTAGCTGAAGGTACAAGATTTTGGCACATCAAGATTTTGGTATGACCAGAGTGAAGTATCTGAAACTAGATTTAAAACTCAAGTACCACTTACTGTTCTCAACTCTCTTCAATGGCCGTCTCCTACAATTTTAATTCTCCTACAATTCTTCAAATCTGCACTTAGAAGACGTGAGAAGGACCACTTGTGATGGTGAGGGAGGCTGTTGGATAGCTTAATTTTGAAAGCAGTTGTGTGGTAAGAGCTAGCTTTTTTCCCTTTCTGACATCTGAGACACATCATGCGATTCAGTGCTTTTAGTAACTCATTTATCTAGTTATTGAGATGGAATTGTAAATGGAAGTCTTATTTCATATGAATCATTCTTTGTTGGTAGTATTTAGCAGGGGGAATACTGCTTTGTGGTTTTGTCCTCGGCCATTGACATTGAATGGATTTGTCTAGAGTAATGAAAGAGGTTCTGATAAAATGGGCATGGATCCTCCATAAAACTTTATTTTCAGTGGGAAAATATTGTGGATGAGTATTGATTATGAACAGAATTATTTAGGATAGCTAAACACAACAGTTAAGGCTACATAATTACCTAGAATATATTTAAAGGTAAGCAGATCATATGCTGGGATTATGAGTGCACAGGGGTTACACAATTTTTATGTGAAAGCAAATACTGCTTCTCTGACAACTGCAGTAAACCCAACCCAGAATTCAGCAAGAGTTTCTTCTCTCAGTCATCTGGGACTGGAGATGATTCTTCAACTCCCTCCGTTAACTCAGACACAAATAGTTACTTCTGAAAATTAAGTTAACTTTTCTGTTGAAATGCCTCAGCATTTGGATACTGACTTGAACAAAGTTTTAAAAATCTGATGTTTGCCATTTTCTCTTGATTTTTTTGTCTGTCAGGTAAAAATAAAAGTAGACCACTCTCCCATGTGAGTGTCAAGTCCATAAGTTGAAAAAATAGGATAACAAAATCAAAGTTACTTAATTCTATTTGAGGTGTGCCTGAAGCAGCATGAACAACTGCTTGAGGGACACCTGGGTTCTCCATTGATCTATTGACCTCAAGCAAGTTGCATCGCCCCTCATTCATAAAGCAGAGATAACACTTCAAGGCCTTCTTTTGTCACATGCTTTAGATCTGCTGATGAAAGGACTTTCACAGAAATAATAACCCTATTCACTGAGAATTTAATATCTTATTTTCAAACTTATTTTCAATGTTGATGCAAATGGATTCAGGGGTTCTGGAACCAGGAAGCCCGATATGTGCTCTAGGCTACTCCAGCTCTTCAGGTGAAACTTGTCCTGAAAATCAGATGCTTGTGAGTCTCTCTTAAAAAAGGATTGTGAATGTCTGATATGTTGTCTCCTTATTCTGCTTCATACTCTCTTGTTCTTGGTTGGTTGCCTCATTTTTTTTCTCCCCTTCCCCACAAATCTTGCAGTAACACAGTCTTTGAACTCTTCATTCCTGTCAAATCAGGCTGACATTGACCTATAGGGCCAGAAGTTGCTATGGGGGTGGGATGGGTGGACAAAAAAGTCTTGTGTAACATGATTGTGTAGGTCTCATATCTTTGGGAAACCAGGGCAAAAGTCATGCCTGCTTTCATTACTTTTGCTTTGAAAACCATAGAATGGACTTGCCAAAATAGTATCTCCAAACTCAAAGCTATCTTTATCCTTACCAAATGGGATGGAATGCTAGCCAAAAAGTGAAAGAATAAGATTTACACATATGGGACTGCTTTGTGCATGAATACAACAGGTGAGAAACAAACTACAATCTTCATCACTGCATAGTCTGATTCAGTAAAACTGCTTGCTACAGAGGAAATGGGTGGAAGTTATGTACAGGACTTCTGGTTCCATGCGGCATTGAGCTATCCAGAGAAGACAAAAGAATATATGGTTAGCCTTAAAAGGAGTTACAGAAAGGAGAAGAACAGTCTGATTTTCTTGTTCATGGTGACAAAGTCAAGCCTTAGCACGGAGAAAGAGGGAAGGTAGTTATTTTATGGAGGAGAGGGAAGCTTTCTAATGCAAAGGTTGAATGGATTAGGTGGGACCTCTGTCATTAAATGGTTTTACAACAGGATTATGCAAGTACCTGGCTGGAACTATGTAAGAACACCTGGTCTTACACCTTTTAAGAGCTACAAGGCCTCCTGACCTCCATTTGAACCACTTTTTCTGTGATTGTTCTGTAAAAGTACAGGTTGCCCTGTAAAACACAGATATGCAATGATGTAAATAAGCCCTCTGTGCACAAAGCTGTTAAGTTTTGTCTAGCTTGAGACTGACAGAGCTGAAAGTTTGGCTTGTGTAAGACAAACATGCTAATAGAAATACTGTCCCAAATGAGTCATTCAGCCCTTGGAGAAGAGAGAAACAAAGCCCTTGAAAATAGTCACAACTAGCGTCAGGACTCAGAAGCCCTTTCAGCAACAGTATGAGCATAACTCATAGAATGGTAACATAGTAAATATCACATAACACTGCTATCTTGCTAAAGGCTACAGATACTTTTACCTCATCTGGGCAGCTCCCAGGCAGAAAGATTCTTCTCATCCTTGGCTTCAGTCATGGATACTGGAAGCTGATGCCATGTGTAGTGAAGAAGTATGATCCATGTCATGTCCACAGTTAGAGAAAGGCAAGGTATTGCCCATTAGGGAAATGAGTTGCTGTTTGTTACAAACTGGGATGACAGAATTTGACAAGTACTCTTGCATCTAAGGTCCAGATCCCAAACCTTTACTCATCCATGCAGTCCTTATTTAATCTGTGCTGGAGTCAGGGGCTTGTTCAGCCACATAATAATTTCCTGAGATACTCACAGAAAACACTACCAGCCCAGAAGTCAATTGTAATATCTTTGAGCCCAGTGGCTCTGGATCTAGCAGCAGAATTTGTGCATAGTGCTGAACTTTGGCTATACAGAAACTCACTGCTGCTGGGTTGTTGTGTTGTGGTTTTTTTTTTCTCCCTATTCATACTGCTTTATACTTTTCCACTTATTTTAATGAACAATTATGGATAACTATCTAAACTGTGAGTTTTATATAAAAATATTTGCTTGAAAAGAAAGTCTGTACCTCAACAATATTTCATTTTCTAAAAAAAAAAAAAAATCTATCAAATAGTTTTTATCAGAAAGCTGTAAAACAAAAGGTTAATGATGTTACAATGTTTTGTTACATCTTCTATAATACTTTCTAGTTTAACTAAGTTTACTGAGAAATTACTCTAGTTTTCCAGTCAGCACAAGTACCAGGCTTACAAAAGCACTTTCAGTCTGCAGGAAAAACAGCATGAAGGGTTGCTTATGGGGAAATACAAACTTGTCACATTAAACTTACTGAACCAGGAGAGAAAAGAAACCCCGACAAATCCACAAATGGCGATGCTTGCAGTCTGCCTCGAACTCACCAAGTATGACGAACAGTGACACTGCTGTCTTAATGTATTGCTGACAGAGCTGCTGTACTCATTAACCTTTGATGAAACAAGATGTCACTTTGTTCACATCAAATGCTCCTTGATGCCAGTGCTCAGAGACTGTTTTTGTTGCTGATGCAGACATCAGCTATTGTTGAAAACATTCTCTCTCCCTTCCAACGTTTCACTGCCCATGAGGATTTATAGGTGCTGATCATTATCAATCTGCAAATGGAGTCTGAAGCTGAGTGTGTGTGTTTAATTTCTGCAGCTTTTAGTTATTTATATTTTTATTAACAATCTTTATTTTAAATGTAATTCAGGTATATTTAAGCATCTGAAAATGCTACATTCTTGATGTGCTACAGGATGCTGCCAGGAATTCCAGGGTACATTTGAGTGATCCACTCAACTTTTTTTGAGGCTGCTGTAACTACTAAAGAAATATTTGCAGCATTACAGCTACACAGTAGAAACACGTTGTAGCAGGAAGAAAGGCATTGAGTTTTGTAATATTCTGGTCAGCATCATGACTAAACAGTGGTTTAGCCTGGATTAGAACTAACTGCTCCTAATTCCTGATCTGTTCTATACCCTTTTATCAGCACTGCCTTCTATTATCAGCATTAGGAACCAATCTTGCTGTTCTGTGTACAGTAAATATGTTGTCTAGCAAGGAAATCCTGCCTGACTGTCTGTAATCTAGGAATAATTTTTATTTAGTCTTTACTTTTCATGATAAGTACATTAGTGTTACTATGAGATAAATGAAAGCAAAGCAAGAGGAAAGGGAAACAATTTGCTTTCCTTGCTTAATTCACAAAATTTCAGTACTGATACCCTGAGAATAGAGGTGTATGTTCTCACAGTTGCTTTTGTGTGTGTTATTTGAATGAACAGAAAAATATTTATAGATTACCTCTTTCCGCTTTATACTCCTCAGTATCTTTTTCCTTGCATTAGGAGACTTCACAGTTTTTGTATTTAATTTTTTTGACATAATTTTTTTTTTTCATGATGAGTTCTGCAACCACTACAGCTGTCATGCACATATGATATCTCAGGAAGCAGTTGAAGGTAAGAGTGGGGATTCTTCTAATCTGCAGTTGTGCAGAAGAGGAGTGTCTGATTAGAGCTTGATGCTGGAATTCTACCTAAAGGTCGTGCCATGCCTCAGGGGGTGATAAACCTTCAAAGTGTTGTGGAATAAAATAGCTATAGAAGAAGCATTTTTAAAGAAAAATATGTGAAGGAAGTAAGATTAAAAAACTGACAAGTTGTTTAGGGCACAGGAGCCTTTTCAGACTCTTGCAGCGAGAGGAGGCAGCAAAGGTGAATGTTAAAGACAGAAAGTGCAAGTAAATGAGATGCAGGCAGAAGCATTTTCATGGGAAATGTATGAAATATTAGTTTGCTTAACTCTGAGGTGCATCTGTCCCTTATTGAGTGATGAAAGTCCAGGAGATTAACCATCCACACTAGTCTAGTTTTACAAGATGAACATGTGAAATTCACAGAATAGCAAACTTACATGAAATGTGACCGCACCACTAAAGAGCAACACAATGGAAAGTGCATCTGAGAACACATGGAATATGATCAAGCATAGCTGATACAACGTCCTTGAAAGGTGGTAGTAAATACACTCATTTAAAGACTTTCACCTGTTGCTTTAAATCATTCATACCCCATGGCATGTCTGCCAGCACTGTGACCCCTGGCTCAGAGTGAGAAACATCAAAGACAGAATGGAGCAGATCAAGTCTCAGGTAGGCGTTGCACCCTTGTTATGGATAAAAGAAGTGATAGTAAGTTATAAAACAGGTGGAACTGGGATATTGCAAGCCTGATATGAGTGACCCACAAACACTAGGACAGTATTACATGCTCATGCAAAATCATATAGAAAGTGTTTTAGAAGATTTTTTTTTATATTATCTCAAAGACATGTGACAATATGTAGTTCTGCTTGCTTAAATTTTTTAAATATTTTTTAATCCAAGAAGGTTTTACGTTCTCTGACCCTACCTGTAACCACACACAAAAAAAAAAAAAAAAAAAAAAAAAAGATTCTTAGTTTAGTTTTTATCAATCAGGTTAATTTTTCTGAGATACATTACCATGCCAGGCAACATCTCTGCTGCCAGGATGCTTACGGTCAAGTATTTACTGTCAGGCAGTGTTTTCTGCTGAAATGGCTGTTTTCTCTGGAAATATACACGTGCTACTTCCCTTCTCTACATGTTCTTCATTTGCTTTTAGGTACAACATGTACAGACTGGTTTTAAAACAGTAGAAATTTCTCCCTGGAAATGAACTGTAGTTAAAATGGAAGACAAGCTCGTTTACAATCAGAGCCAACAAGTCTGCAAACATACACTCTGGGTATCTTGTATCAGGCCAATTTCAGTAATGTTCGTTTGACTGTGTACTGTATAATCTGTAGTTATTGTACCAGAAAAAGTCTTTTATGAAAGTTTATCACTTCTAGTCACTGAATCCTAGCATAAAATACTTTTTGAACAAGAATTAAAACACTTCAGCAAATCCTCTTGAGAGAAAACAATTTGTAGGTTGTTTTTCTGAACTAAGGAAAACTTTAGGAGTTAAAAATACTCATGATAATGCTGATAACATGAATCTGGTGCCAACTTCAGGTCTTCCAGTATGGTCTCAGACATTACTGACTTTGGAGAACATTGCTTCTCATCCTAATACAGGGCCCAAAGAAGTCTGTGCTTTCACAACAGTAACTGTGATTGCAAAACCAGAACTACACTAAAGTCCCCACTGTAACAGGTGTCTGCTCTCTGTGCTTGTACTTACTTATATCCTGTCTGCCTTACTGGCAAAATCCCTGCTGCAGTCCTTTGAACTTTTCACACGTTAGTGTCCTCAGGGTTAAAATTCTGTTCAGCAGAGATTTGTTGGACTTTGAGGTGGATTTTTAGTATTTCAGTAGTGATTGTCTTTTAAAGTTGGTAATTATTTTAATTTTTTTAAGGTTTACTTTGGTTGGCTACTGTTTACTTTTCTGGTGGTAAAGGAAGGGGGAAGGGGAGAAAGCTTTGCTGTCTCCTCTGAGTGGCCAGAGCCTGTCTGTGAACTCCTTTGAAAAGTGATTTCAGTGAATCACAAATGCTTTCTCTAGTGCTTCTGTGTACTTTCTCTTGGTTTTTGTGATCCAGCATGTATCACAGGAGTTCAGATTTCGTAGTGCCCTTGAGCAGAGTGTTTCTAAGACAAACAGCAACCTGATGTTTGCACTGAAATGCAACGCTACATAGTTGCACTGACATGAGGAAGCTGGATGAATGCCAGTGTCACATGGGCCTGATGGAGAAGTGGTGGGTTTTGCTGGGAGAGGAGGAGAAAGGACATTTTCTGGAAGCTGGACATGTGTGTTCCCGTTCAACTCGAGAGACAGTCAGCTATGGTAATCAGCACTTCTTTGGCCAGATGTTCATCTGACAGGAATTGGCAAAGTTTTCTGTAAAGTTAGAGGTAAAAATCACCATATTTTCAAAATGGCACTGCTACCTCTCCATCCAAAGACTTCAGACCACTCCATTGGAAGATATTGTTCAGTGACAGAGCTAACATCTTTCATGCTTTAGAACACTTACCATTTTCAAACTGCTTGATTTTGGTCTTTCCCATGGTAATGCAAGTCAAAAGCTCTTCCTTCCGAAATTAATTTCCTTACTCATTTTAATTACTCTAATCTGGTTCAGTATAAAGAAGTCTTTGCAATGAGGAACAGTGTATAGGAATGCTCAATGATATCTTTGTCAGTGGATGCTGTGGGAGAAGTTCCAGTACACCTCTGGTTTATGCATATGAAAGTTGAAAGGTCTACTGTCCTAACAAAGAGAAGCATGATCTTAAAATAAACACAATGTTCAGTATGATAAGTTACCTTTTACCATTTTTTTCCACCAGCTAAGGAAGAGATGTAAGGGGCAGGGGAGAAATTGGGTGCCTAAAATACGGGCACAAGTTCCAAGCCCATGCTCAGATCCAAGGACACTGATTTGGGCTGCTTTCCATACTGTATACAGAGATGTTGGAAGCTGGAATTTTTGCCTACATCCAAATACTATATTAGAAATGCCATTCATGTAATTTTTCATCATCTCTTTTCACATCACTGTTGATTATCATTGATATTGGCTTGGAAAACGAGATGTTCTCCTATATAATCCTGCAACCACCACAGTGTCCAAACATCTCCAGGGCAACCTTTCTTCCTGCCGCGCTCCGCACATTTTTGCAATGACTGCTTTTGTAGTACAGGCGAGTTTCAGGGCTTAATGGGTTGATGCTCACAGACCCAAACTCTTGGCAGGAATAGTGAGGTTAATTACTTTCTATTAAGGTGAAGTCTTGGCTCACAGAGACTTTTCCTGGTGACTTCAACACAGCTTGGATTTCACCCTTCAAAAACCGGTGACTGTGCAACAAAAGAATGTGTCCTGCCAATTTGTGAACCTTTGATTTCAGTTGCTGTTGCCCTACTTAGAGCTCTGTGCTGGCTTAACAGTGTCTGGCAGCAGTGGGCTGATCCTACCCACCTCCTGGGCTTGGCTTCACCCATCCTGTAACTAATAAGTAATGTATTATTTTATTTACTGACTAGTCTAATCTCTCTATACTGGACTGTGTTACCAGACGCTTTTGTCTGTTGTAGGAACTTCATATTTTATTTTGGAAACTTGGCCAATGGTAATCTAACCACAAAGGCTAGGAATAGGAATAGCAGCATATGTGCACTTTAGAGAACAAATCACAGAAATTCTACATATCTCAGATTTGCAAGGCAGGTTTATTTTTAAGGCTGTTACTGGTCCTGTTCAACTTCAGGATACCATGAGAGTCATTTTAAGTATCCAGTACATAGCCAGTTACATTTTATTTGTTTTGGGGGTGAAGGAGAAAAGATTTTTTTTTTTTTTTTTTTTTTTAGGATTTTTAATTGTCTATGAAGGATTTTTCCTCCTTGATAAATTATCAAAGGTTCTTGACCTCACAGTTAATAATTTTGTTCATGTTTACAAAGAACAGTTAAGACAATTCAAGTAAATATTCTTATTGACTTTAAAGAGGTTGAGTACTAGCAGCAATCATGTGCAGAAGAGTTTTCTCTACTGGTTCTCAGTTAAATTTAAAATTTAGCAAAAGTCAGCTGGAAAGTTTTCCAGAGTAGGGAGTGAGTATAAAACTGAGGAGAGTCCTGAGGACCAGGCCCACGTTAAATAGTTCTACTCCCTGAATACAAACAGCTGAAGGTTTCAGGATAAGCCAAGACAAATACCTTTCTTCTGTAGTTTTTTCTTTGCCAGCCAAATCTAATTTTTAGCAATTCATATAATAAATGCTGCTAAAGTGACATGGAAATGGAATATATCTGAAAATGATACATCACTTCAGACTGTAGTTGGTACAGTCTGTTTCTCATTGTAACGTGTATTTAGTACATATCTAGTCCCAAGTGCTGCTCAGCTTGTTCCATTTTTTTTTAATTTGTATTATATAGGGACAATCGAGGCACTATGTTCTTTCCATAAAGTTTTTCCTTTCATAGCACAAGGCTGGAATGGAAATATGAGAGGGAAAGTGTGCTTCACCAATGCCAGAAAAAGAAAAGTATGCTAAGTTAAAGCTTTCAAGTTAAAGAGCAAAAGTTAAAAAGTAAAGCTTAAAGTTCAAAATCAGATAACTTCCTCTGATATTTAGATATCTAGGACCAATTTTCAAATGCATATTTTTACTTTAAAAAACAACAACCACCAAAAATATTACACCACCCCACCCACATCCCCCCCAGGAAAACACAAAACCAGCAACAGAACAAACCTGAAACCAAACAAAAAGTAATGGAAGCATAGTCTCCACAAATGTCTTTTTAATGCCCTCTTTTATTACCTTACTGTGATGGACCTCTTCTTCCCTGGTCTTTTTACTCCTACTGACAAGTAATCTTAGCCTGCTAATCCTGACCCTTAAACTCTGCTACATAATAATTAACTTTCAGTGTCTCATGACTCTGATTTTTATGTATTAAATGCATGCCTTGTTATCTACTCAGTACTGCATAAGACACCAGTTTGACAAAGAATGAAATACGGTGCTTGGGAGAAAGTTTTATTCTTCCATAAGAAATATAAACCCTATTTCCAGGACTTAAATGACATTAGAGGTTTGTTGATATTGAGAAATTTAATCTGCCAAATGCTTAAAAAAATACTTTCCAACTAAATTCACAGACTTCCACTAAATCTCCACTGATTTAGATTGTAAGGATTTTCTTCTAGTTTAACTTAATGGATTTTAAAAAATGTATCCCCTAAACCATTGTAATTTTTATTTTGGGATATGATTCAGTTGGCAGGTAATCCTTGCAAGATCTGTTTGTAAGGTGATGATTTTCCACAGAAAAGTGATGAGCTTGTTTATGAAACAGAGAACTTTGAAATCAGCAAAGCTCTCTACCAGAGAGCAGCTGAATTACTCACAGGATAAAGGAACTTTCTTACACTTGGAATCAAATTCATCATGTTTAATACTGGAATTGCTTAAAGACTCAAAATCAAAACTTCTGTGACAAGCTGAGCAGGGAGGGCAGTATCTCAATTTTCTTAAAGCATAAGCTTCAAAACCAAACTTTTTTCCAAATAAGCTACTTAGTTGTTATTTTTCCAGGTTTTGATGACAACAAACAAGACTCAGATATTTAATATCTTGTTTCCATGAGAAATAACAAGTTATCTTTAGAACAGCAGATGTTATTTCTTCAGATGAGAAAGGTGCACTTTAATTCACTTTTGCTAAACAGACTTTTGGCTTTATTGGCAGGTTGTCAGGAAAATTAAGTGAAAATGACAGTGCATTGCCAAAGTGCAAAAGGCTTGGATTTAAAAACATGTCCACTAGAAATCCGTTTCAAGTCATCGGTCTGGAAGTTTTTCCATGGCTTTAGTTAAAGTGAAAGGGAGAGAACAGGGCCTAAAATTCAGAAAAGCTCTCTCATTCACTGCTCAAATTATAGGAAAGGCTGACTGTATCCGTTTATTGCAAAATATTGACATATCTTGTCAAATGCACCCCTTCTAAAGGGCTTGAAAAGAAAGAAGAGCCTCTTGAAGAGCCATGATCTCGCTGTGGATGCTGAAAATCAAGGCTTTCATTGATAGAGTCAATGAATAATCCTGAGGGTTGTCTGGGGAGAAGGGCGATCAAGTTTATCTCTTGATTCCAAGAAGGTCCAAAGGCAGCCAGGAGGTGAGGGGATGCTTCTGTGGGCCCGCAGGAGCAGCTGGCAGCTATCGAAGGACAGCAGAGCCTGTTGGGACCAATGAGGGCTAAGCCCTCATCTCTTTGAAAATGGAGTCGTTGCTTTTTGGGGAAAAGCAAGAACAACTCAGGTGTTTGCTACAGACAAGGAAGAGAGTAAAGAAATAATGTGAGCCCTGGGCAGGCTGGGAGATGGTGAAATGCTGCCTAGTTCCAAGTGTGCAGGGAAGAGATATATATGGGCAAAACACTGAGTGCTGTGGAATACAGCGGGGAGGTAGAGGCAGCCACCAGCCAAAGGCAGGGTCATTAACTTCTGGATTCACCGTCTGCTTAGGCAAATCCAGGGCTTGAACTGAAGGGAAATTGCATCATTACAAATC